GATTTAGACAACCGTGTGCCTCCATAAAGCGAGCTTGTTATTCGCGTTTTCCGGTGGATCTCTCGCTCTGCGGCCTGCTACGAGGGCCGATAGCGGAGACCTCGACTGTATTGTTGTCAAGCCTGATTCTAAGCCAAATTATTTCAGAGGCTGTTAACTAAGCAAGCGGGTGTCTTGACGAGGCTAAGGCGAAAGATGCGATGAACAATGGGCAAAATCGGTTGTGTCCGATTTGGTGATTGTCACTACCGCGAACGTCTCTAAGAGGTGGAATACAGATGTGCCCAGTGATAGAAGCTGATTATGGTATGGAAGAACGTGGATCGAGAACTTGAAGGCCCCACAACACTTCGCGTGATGGCAGTCATTCGATACCATAAACTTTGAGTCTCCTGCTTGCATAATTACAAATGTCACAGTGTCCACTCGACACAAAACATACTCCAGTGTACTTGTCGGCGCCGGTTCATGTCTCTGCACTATTCTCGCCCCGTCCCGCCCCGTCCACTTCTGCGCGGTCAATCTCTTCGTCCGCGGGCTCATCGTCGTCCCAGACACTCTGCAGCGTCTCCCCGATATTACCCAGCCAATTCGCTGGCCTTCCGAACTGTATCGTCGACTGTTCTTGCTGTCGATCAGTAACATGCGTAGAATAATTCAGCGCCTCCGAGTCGACCGTTCGCAGGTCGATCATGAAGCGATGGATGAGTATCGGAGGCTGCGTGGCGCGTTAATCAGTACCGAGGTAGCTGACGAAGAGGACTGTAGTGAGCTCACCAGAGTCTCAGTAAACCCTGCCATGAGTGGTTCAATTATCTTAAACACAGCGTCAGCCATCAGCCCATGCGCTCATGTCGGGGACCTACCGTAGAATTGTAGGTCAGCATCTGGGCTATGTTGACCGCTAACAAAGCCCTATATTTTTTGCCACCCATGAGCTACGCTCGACTAGTCGCCTTTGTTGTTATGCTTACATGAAATAGATGGTGCCTGTGTGGGCAGCCGGGCCTCAGCGCTCAGCAGTAGTAGCGAATACAACTCTGCATGGAAGACTACTGACCGTCACGCAGTAGACACGTCGCCAGCGACATCTGGACATTGACACTGCGGGCACGCCTCCAATTTCCGAATGTCTTGATCCATGTCATAACGAGCACAATCGTATCGGCGAGGACGAGCGAACTGCGAGCGGTGTATGTCACTAAGCAGGTGCCATCAGTGTCTACAGAGTGCGATGATTTGTGGTTATGACACACGTCTGTGCGGTGACAGATGAGCATCGTGGACCAGGAACAGTGAGACATGTGTATCTACATGTTATTTGTCTGCGCAGAGAACGGGACCTCTGTGGTGCATGCCGTGCCGGAGATCGGATCTGCGACGATAGCGTACTTTGACATCACCACGCTGAACTACACAGAAGTGTCAAATAGAGCGTATATGGGTATGAGCAGAAGCGACACGCACCAGGTTCACTATGAATGGTGCCATACTCAGCACAAACACTACTAGCGACCAGATGCGGCTTCTATCCCAGATCGCGAAGACGCGCAGGGCAGAAAAGACTGGTGCGGGTAAGTTAACAGGCAGTCTGGACTCGAGCAAGCTATGTGAGGCGTACGAGCGGCCTGAGCGTAGCCGATCAGGATGAACACTTGCAAAAAGATACTAAGCCGTGTGCAGCTGTGTGTCGGGTTTCGGTGAGCAAACTGTACGTGTAAGAGTCTCCAAACAAACTGTACTTACTCCTGCCAGAAGTATTATTTGGAACTGCTGTCATTTAACGATATTCGAGGCTTACATTGGGAGTTGCTGGCGCGAGTTGAAGTGTCGCTGAGATGAGCATGCACCATCTTACTGAGCTAAACAGCACGGCAGATACAGTGATAGGCCTCTTCCGCAGGATGTCAATTTCATTGGAGATGGTAATCAAAAACTCGTAGACGACGAGGGCTGAGGAAGGAACACTGTGAGTCGTGGAATGGGAGGCGGAAGATATACTTGCATGAGACAACTCCCACGGTATAGTCTGCTACGAGGCTACCAATGCAGAGCGAATGCATGAGTATCGCGTCGTCAAGTGCGAACAGAGTTTATGCTTACACCTGCGAGTAGATTTGAGAAATGGTCTGGGATGGCTGCTGTGACATTGCGAACGTGAGGGTGTGCGGCGAGCTGCATCTAGCACAGACCATCGCTCACCCTCAATTTATAAGTGACTTGTATCAACACACGCTTCGCACCTATCAGACGGCACCCTGAGCGTCCTAGAAAAAAGAATGAACATCGGTAATGATCATCAATGTCTGCAGCTGGACAGACCGCATCGAATAGAAGAGACAAGTAGGACGAACGATAATCAGCGAAGTTGATGCAGAAACGGTCCCGGAGGTATTCCGGGACCTGTGCACGGTTGATTGGGGCACATAATATCTCTTTGGGATGGTCACCATAAGAGTAGCATACCAGTGAGCGTTACTTACAGTACACATACCTGATCCAAGCTCGACTCAGACACAGTGGGCTCATACCCATACAAGGGCAGACCAAACTATGGTTGTGGGATAATGATATCTTTCATACACCATCATGGGCGATTATTCCCAGCGGCGTTTCATTGGATCGAAGGGTTCCTGGGATGGTGGGAGAGCCTATAGACGTAGACAGAAGGTTGCTCTACTGCGAGCGAGGGCTATGCTGAAGAAGGTCAGAGCTTGGAGCGAACCTCTCTGAAATCAAGGTACAGCGAAAGGCAGCTCACATGATCAAGATTAGAAGGAGATGGAATATTCTGACCATGTTTCTGGCCCGTGCTATCTGCTCCGTCTCTATCTCTAACTTCTGGGGTGGCCAGTTCCAGCATGCATCACTTCGGGAGGTGGGAAAACACAGCGCTGCAATATGGTGCGTATCATGCAGAACTTTCGCACCTATTACTCAGCTCGAGAGCACTCATTTGCCAGATCTGCATAAGGATGAGCGTGCTATAAAGGTCCTATGTGTCGAGAGAACACGGAAGTAGTACTTATTTGTGAAGTTCATTGCGACCTGAAAAGGGCGAGTCGAACTCATGTCAAAAGTTACACGATCGCAATGACCTCATACTAATAGCGGAAGCACCATCATATCGGATGCTCGGTCCGCGTCTCACCAGAGCGCGCACGACGCGCCGCAGACGCGTCGAGCCTTCGAGTGTCCGATAA